GTGCACACCCGCACCTGCCCTCACACACTCACACGTGCATACCCACACCTGTGCACTCACACACGCACACCCACACCTTCCCACTGACTCACACACACGTGCAACCCACACCTGCCCACTCACACACACGTGCACACCCGCGCCTGCCCACTCACATGTGCACACACCCTGCAAACACACTTCTGGCACATTGCTGTGGGCCTGTGGTCCGGCCTTCGGTGTCTGAGGAGGGGCTCTGGGCCTCCTGGTGTCTGGATTTAAACCACACTGGATGTAGGAGAAGCTTTCCTTGGAAGTGGAAGGTGCTTGCCTCCCTCGGCCCCCAGCCCCCACACTCGGTTCCTAGGATGGGGTGCACAGAACACGAGGAACAACACTGGAGCTGCCACCAGTCCCCAGTTTGTCGAGTGCCACATTCCACCGCTCGCCTGGTTCAATATGAGAAATTGCGAATGTGCTTCCACCTGGACCTGCACCCCCAGTGGGGTCACGTGGCCGTCAGCACTCTGAACATTGCCGCACACACGCGTGCACACACGTGTTCCCATTGCACTTTGCGGGTGAGCGAGACATCAAGGTGTGTCTGAGCGCGTCGCTGTCATGCCTGACACACGTGGCGCCGATCGCATGTCATTGTCTAGCACGTCTCCCGTGGCCACGGGTTGTCCACTTGGGTGTCCACGGAGCAGCTGGGATGTCAGGGGTGGGGCTGCTCACCTGTGGCGGGCAGGAGAGACCTCGCGTGGGACACGGGCCCATGAGACATGAGCCTGTGAGCTTCAGGGATCTCCTTGCCAGCCTCCTTTTGCACAGCTGGGGAGACAGGCTAGAGAGAGTCCCGGCCATGCTCATTCCCTGGGGCGGAGCCTCCCTGAGCGTCTGGCCTTTGCTTTCCAGATCCCGACTGGGCTTCCTACACCCTGGGGGTGTTCATCTGTCTGAGCTGCTCCGGAATCCACCGGAACATCCCCCAGGTCAGCAAGGTGAAGTCCGTCCGGCTGGATGCCTGGGAGGAGGCCCAAGTGGAGGTATGGGCCTGCAAGCGGATGGGGGTGGTGGTGGGCGGGGAGGAGACCCTGCAGTCCTGCTGCTCCCTGGGTGCCCTCGGCCTGGCCCCCCAGGTCAGACACCCCGGGGGTCCCTTTACCCCTGGTGCTCCAGGCTCCTGACTGGGTCCAGTGCTGACCTGGGGTGGGGGTGAGGGGTAGAGGGGTGAGGGTAGGGATGAGATGGGGGGAGAGCAGAGTTGGGGGCAGGGGAGAGGGGCCGGAGGGATGGGGATGGGATGGGGACAGGGGTGTGAAGCGGGATGGGTGGGGAGTGAGGGCGGGGGTGTGGGAGGGGGGCCAGGCGGGGTGAGACGTGTCCTGTGCCCTTGGCCCCCAGGTCGCCAGTCTGCACGCACCACTCAGCAGCCCTCGGTGCGTTCACAGGCCACTGTCACCAAGGTGCCTTGTAGGACATTTCACCCCTGAGAAAGAAACCCGAGCCCCTAGCCGTCCTGAATGCAGCCGGGGGGACGCTCATCTGCTCTGCATCCCCCCAGATGTGCCTGCTATGGGCATGTCCATGGAAGGGATTGGGCACTGGGGGGCCTTGGTGTCTGGCTTCTTTCACCAAGCGCCACGTGTCCGGGGCCACCTGCATTCTAGTGCGTGTCTGGGCTTCGCTCCTTTTTATGAGGGGATGACGTCCACTGATGGAGGGACCTTGTTATCCATCTGCCGATGAGCACCGGGACGCTCCGAGGCCGTGTGCGTGCAGGGAGCACGTGACTGTGTGGGGGCCCTAGGCCCCCGGCTGGCCGTTCAGTCTCCTCAGAGGTGCCCTGAGCGTGGGCCCCCCCGTCCCCCCGGTGAACACAGAGTAAGCCCTCCTGCGGAGAACCTGATCTATTGGACCAGGCGCCTGGAGAATCAGTGACTGCCAGGCAGGCGCACCTGTGCCCCTCAGGGCCGGGAAGCCTATCCCCGCACGTGGGAGTGACTGCAGCCTCCCACCCCAGCGGCTTCTGTGCCTCCCCGCACACCCCCCACCCCGTGTGAGAGCCTTTGCCACATCCCTGCACACCGGCCCCCGTGTTTCTCCTCTGCCGCGTCCCTGTGGGGCCGTCACGGGGCGTTTCTGTGTCTTGAGGACACTGAACAGCTTGTGCCACGGTTTGGTGTCTGTGGCTGACCCTGCATGCCCTTGGCCCCTCGCTGGGGCGGAGTTGGCTGTTTCGCTTTCTCGTGTTCGGCTCTATTTGGGGATCTAACCCTTCGAGGTGGTAGAGGAGACGGTTTTTCTGGGTTGTCTTTTGACTTTGCTCGTGGTGGGTTTTGCAGTGGAAACTTGTTTACTTTGATGTACTCAGATGTATCAGTCTTCTGTGGTTTTCGGGGTTCTCGGGTATTTCGATGGGCCTGCGCTGCCCCAGGCTGGTTTGACTCACCAGGGCGTCACGGAGGTAGAATTCGCACACCATGCAGCCCGCCCGCGGGAGGCTTCGCTCCACCACACAGCTGCACAGCCGTCCCCGCTGCCTGATCTTGGAGTATTTTCCCCAAACGAGCCCCTTACAGCCCCCCCACCCCACGGCCTCTGCGGCCCCCGCCCCGTGCAGAGCACCACGCGTCCCGGCTTCACCATGTGGTGGCAGGTGTCCCGGCCACACGCCCCTGTACTGCGGAGTAATTCCTGCCATGTGGACAGACCACATTCGGCTGACGCACCCGCCCATCCATCGGTGGACGCTTGGGTCATCTCATTTTCCCGCTCTTACGAGTAACGCTGCTGGGAACAGTCCTGGGCAAGCTCGTGTGTGGGCAGAAGCGGCCTTTCTCCCGGACAGAGTGGCGTGGCTGTGTCTGTGGGGACGAGCCGGACTGCCCGGAACAGGGCCGCGTGCCTGCTGGCCACGCAGGGCGGGCCCGGTCCCGCCAGCACTTCCCGTGGCCGGTGTCTGATTCCGGCCTCCCTCACGGGTGCAAGCTGGGCTCCTGCTGTGGGCTTGACTCGCGTTTCCCCGATGATTAGCGGTGGTGAGCATCTTTTCATAGGCTTATTGGCCGTTCGTGTGTGTTCTTCAGAAACCAGTCCATTCAGATCCTTTACCGATTTTCAAAACGGGTTGTCTTTTTATTCCTGAGCTAGGAGCGTTTATTCAGAGTCCTTTATATATTCTGGACTTGAGTCCCTCATTAGATATGGTATTTGCAAATAGTTTTTCTCCTGTGGATTATCTTTTAACTTTCCTTTTTTTTTTTTTTAAGACTTTATTCATTTATCTGAGAGAGAGAAAAAGAGAGAGAGAGAACAAGAGGGGGGAGGGTCAGAGGGAGAAGCAGACTCCCCGCGGAGCAGGGAGCCCGATGTGGGGCTTGATCCAGGGACTCCAGGATCATGACCTGAGCTGAAGGCAGCCACTTAACCGACTGAGCCACCCAGGTGCCCCTTAATTTTCCTTTTTAAATAAAATGTTTGCAATGCTAAACGTGCAGTTTATATTCTGAAGGAGCTATATCTGTATATTTTTTATTACTGAGGTGAAAGTCACATAAACCCACCGTTTTAGTGAACAGCCCAGTGGCATTTATCACATTCATGGGGTTGGGCAGCCCCCACCTGTGTCTGGTTCCAAGTCTTCCCGGCACCTCAGAGGAGCCCCGGGGCCCATCCCCCCGGCCCCATGGCCGCCTGTCTTCGTCCTGCCTCTGGGCATCCGCCCCTTGCGGACTTACTGTCCAGCTTCTCTCATTCAGCCTAACGTTTGCACGCCCTCAACGGCGTCCTTTGAAGCACAGAAGTTTTTAACTTTGATGAAGTTCCATTTTTTTTTTTCTTTTGTTGTTTGTGCTTTTGGGATCACATCTATGAAGCCATTTCTTAGTCCAAAGTCACAAAGATTTCCTCCCATATTTTCCTAAAATCATTTTTTTAAATTATAGCATAGTTTCTAGCTACTACTTTTACTGTTTAATTTTGGAAATCACATCTTTAATTCAGTTGGAGCTTATATGGCTAAAAGGTTGAGTCCAGCTGTGCTTTCTCTATGCTGGTTTCCCAGGTTCCTGCTCCCAATGATGATCAGCTAAAAGGCATCCCCCCGTTGATCTGAGATGTGCATTAAATCCAATATCAAGTATTAGATCTTAGTGGATCTCTTTCTGGACCTTTTATTGGTTGCATTGATTTGGCTCTCTGGTCAGTAACAGGTTTTAATAGCTGGTAGGAAGAGTATTTGCAGAATTTTCTAGAGCATTTTGCTTGTTAATTTTTTTTTTTTTAAAGATTTTATTAATTCATTTGACAGAGACACAGCGAAAGAGGGAACACAAGCAGAGGGAGTGGGAGAGGGAGAAACAGGCTTCCCACAGAGCAGGGAGCCCGATGCGGGGCTCGATCCCAGGACCCTGGGATCATGACCTGAGCCGAAGGCAGACGCTTAACGACTGAGCCACCCAGGCGCCCCTTGCTTGTTAATTTTAAAATGAACTTTAGAATCATTGCTAGCTTCAAAAAATTATATTTTTTTGACAGCTTCTAAAACAACATAGATCAACATCAGGAGGCGGCGTGTGTCTACCCTTCCGAGCACGTGTCTCCGTGCAAGATTTCTTGAGCATCCCTCGGGGCGCGGACGTTCTGTCTTTGTGGAGACTTTGAGCATTTCTCATGAGGCTGGCTCTTCAGTATTTTGCCAAGTTCTTTTTTTTTTTTTTTTTAAGATTTTTTATTTATTTATTTGACAGAGAGAGACACAGTGAGAGAGGAGCACAGGCAGGGGGAATGGAGGGGGGAGAGGCAGGCCTCCCGCCGAGCGGGGAGCCCGATGCGGGGCTCGATCCCAGAACGCTGGGATCATGACCTGAGCCGAAGGCAGGCGCTTAACGACTGAGCCACCCAGGCGCCCCTATTTTGCCAAGTTCTTGATTGAGGTTTTAGAAAAGCAACTGATTTTGGAATTTTAATTTGGTACCAGCTTTTTGCTGAAGTATCTTATTGTTGGTGATTTTTTCCAGTTGACCCACTTGGGTTGGGCATGGTCATGGCCTGATGGTCCTCAAAGTTCGATGGCTTTGGAAGAAAGGCTTTCTCTTGGTGGGTGGGGGCGGGGGGTCAGAAGGAGGCAGGATTGGCGCAGAAGGAATCCCCTCCACTCTCCTTGTCCTGGAGGCCACCATGCGTCAGGTGCCGCTGGTCCCCTCCCTGCTCCCCTGCACCAGCCCAGCTGGAGGCATCTCTTCCAATACACCTGGCACTGACCCCAGGGCCTTTGCACCCACTGTTCCCCCACTGCCTGTGTAGTACCTGCTCCAGGTTCCTGACTCCCACCGTCTGTCAGCCTCAGGGGGAACACAGACCTTGCTTCCCCGGGCCAGGCTCCATCTCAGGGCCCTCACTGTGCCCAGTACTTGAGGGCTGCCTGCTGGGCGTGGGTCAGATGAGTGGAGAGCGGGTCTTGCGTGAGGCAGGGACGGGGCAGCTTGGGCGGAGGGAGCAGCTCTGCAGCCCCGGGGGATGTGAGGAGGGCCTGGCCCACCCTCTCCAGGGCCCCTGGCAAAACTGGAGGTGCGTCCCTGTGGCCGTTGCAAAGTGCTTTCCCTGAGACAGGAGGGGCTGGGGACGCCAGGGCTCTGGGGTCAGCCGGCCCCTGCCCTAGGCCTCGGCCTCTGGGAGCACTGACCCCATCCTCCCTCTGCAGTTCATGGCCTCCCATGGGAACGATGCTGCGAGGGACACGTACGAGTCCAAAGTGCCTCCCTTCTACTACCGGCCCACGTTTTCTGACTGTCAGTAAGTCACAGGGGGCATCCGTCGGGGGCTGGCATCGGGAGGACCCACCAGGCAGGGCAGCGGCTGCCACCTGGGAGCTGGGGAGGGCGGCCGGATCCCCGGGGTCTGGCAGTGGGGTGGTGGCTGGTGGCTGGAGGGAGGGCAGTGGGGCCCTTGCTGTGGGTCTCAGCGGGGGTCTCCAGGGCCTCGTGTGCCCCCCGGTGGTCGGAGGAGGATGCTGAGCAGCTCAGGGCGGCGTCCACCCCTGGCCAGGCTCCCCGTCTCCCAGCACTTCTAGACCTCCCTGAATCCCCTACCTCCCTGGGTGTCGCCCCCCAGGACGCCTCGTCCCTCTGTGCCCCCAGCACAGGACTGGCCCCTTAGGTGTCACTCAAACCCCCCGGCTGCCTGCCTCTGCTGGCCGGTGTCCACGGTGGCTCGGCCACAGCTTTGGCCACGGAGATGAATGGCCCTCTTTGGACAAGGGCACTCCCGGGGCCCAGAGGGGTTGAGCGAGTGACACAGATGCCAGCAGATGAGCCGCGTCCAGAACCTGGGATATGGGCTTGATGCTGGGAATTCCCGGTCCCGGGCAGGCAGGTGGGAGTCCTGCTCCTGGCCACCTGCCTGGGGACCTGGCCCACCTGCCTCCCAGGCCAGGGAGATGCTGCTGATGGCTGCAGGGTCTCTGGGGTCAGGACGCCTTGCCAGGGACCCACCCCGGTGCAGGTACTGGGTCACATCCTGAGACTCGCCCCACCACCGGCCACTTCTGGGCTCAGGGGGGAATCTGGAGCCTGGGGCCCTGCCTGGCCATCTCGGTATGAATCAGTGTGGCCGGGCGACTATTTCTGAGACACGATTTTATCACCTCGGCCACAGCCTGCTCTATGGTCTGCCTATTTGCATGCATGCCCTGTATCTCCCTTCAGAGTGGATGACAAGGGACAGCCTGGCTCACAGGCCGTGTCCTGGCCAGGACGCCCAGCAGCTTCCTCTACGTCCTGGTCCCTGAGACACGCTCGCAGAGACCATCCCTGTGCCGTATAGGGGCTGTGCGGTCAGGGCTTGTCCGGGTGACTGGGCATCCCAGGAGGGAGCAAGGGGACACTGGGCAGGCCTCGCCTTCCAGAAGCCCCTGCTAGGCGAAGGTTTGCCGGAGCCGAGCCTGCCACTGTCCCCACACTCAGTAGGCACTGAGGTCTGCCCAGGCCAAGCCCCCGTGGCCCAGGAGGGTGCAGATGCCTGCAGGGGTGGGGTCCGAGCCCCCCCCCCCCAGGGAGCTGTGACTGAGGCCAGCGAGTTGTGGCGGCTGATGCTCCAAGCTCACTGAGGAGTGCTGTGCGTGGTGGGAGGCGTGGTTTGAATCCCTTTGTAAACTGTAGGGTGCAACCCCCCCCAGATGGGCACTTTTGGAGCCGGGGGCTGCAGCAGCCTCCAGGGAGGCCCCCCTGGTGTCCTGAGGACAAAACCAGGGGGTGTGTGGCCCCTCCCCGGCCTCCCGTCTAGGGCTCGGAGCCCATGGGCGAACCCATGAGGAGCGGTGCTCAGAAGGCCTGGGTACAAGGTTATGTTCGTGTCAGGCGGTGATTCAGAGAGAGGCGGGGACCTGGGCCCCCTTCCTGTGTCCGCCCCGCTGCCCTCGGGCTCGGTCCTGCCGCCGTGGGAAGTAAGTCAGCAGAGGTCCTCTCGGTTTTGCTTCTGCTGCAAGCCAGCCCCCCTGCTTCCTTCTCAGGGGCCCGGGCGGGGGGAGGCTGGAGCCCGGAGGTGCCCCCAAGTCTTGGCGGGCAGGGTTCCCGGCTGGATGGGGCTCTGTGCCGGCTTGCTGGTGCGGGGGGGGGGGCCGAAACCCCAGCTGGGTTGGCTCACACAATAGAAATTCACCATCTCACCTCCTGGAGGCTGGCGGTCCAGGTGTGCGGGGCTCATCTCCTGAGCCCCCTCCTGGGCTTGGACATGGCCATCCTGTGTCTGTCTGGACCCCCTCTCTGGGGGTGCCTCCACTCCAGCCTGACGCATTGTAACTTGTTAACCCACAACCATCTTCCTTCCAGAATGGGGCCCATCTGCAAGGTGCTGGGGGTTAGGACTCCAACGTATTTTTGAGGGTGGTGGGTGCAATTCAATCCATAAGAGCCTCAGAAATCAGGCAGATAAAGCGAGAGGAGGTCTTGGTTTGCTTCGGGGAGTTCAGAGGGCAAGCGGGTGTGGATGGCGGCCGTGCCGGGCCAGGGGCTCACCACCGTGAGGAGGGTGTATCCTCAGTTTCCCCACGGTACAAAGGAAGGGAAAGACACTGCCTGGGTGAGCTGCCCACCCGGTGGAAGGGGAAACTGAGGCACCAAGGGCAGTCACCTCCCCAGGAGGGAAGGCCCAGGCCTCAGCCTCTGGCAGAGTGTCCTAGAGCACGGGACTCAGAGGCTGACGGAGCCGGGGCAGGAGGGCGGTCAGAGCGGCAGTCAGACGCCAGCCCCTGACATGGTAGCTGGCAAACAGCCACGCTCCCACTGGGGCTTCTGCACCAGCCTCAGGGGGCTGGGGGGGAGGAAGGGGTCCGCCGCCTGCCGGGTGCTGGGGTTGCCCCCGACGGGCTGTTGGAAATGGGGGAGGCAGGCCCTGGGGGTCAGAGCAGGGCAACTCCAGGGCCGGGCAGGGTGGGTGGTCTGCTTCACAGGGGCGGTGGTCGCCCCACTCACCTGACCGCCCCCCACCCTCCCAGCTCCAGGCAGCCAGTCCTGCACACATCCCAGCTCCGCATCTGCTCTGGGTTGAGGGGACCCATACTGACCCCGAGGGCCCCGGCAGTGGGGGGAGGCGGTGAAGCCTGTCTCCCCTAAGCTCCTGGGAACACAGGGCGGGTCTTAGGTTTCAAGAGCAGCGTCTGCTGGGGGTGTGGGCCTCCCTCATCATGAGGCTTGGTGGAGAGTGGGACCCCCCCTTTGATGCTGGTTTTCCCTGGTGGAGGAGCCTGGGCCAGATGGCCTCAGGGGGTCAGGGCCCCATGTACTGCGGCACCCTGTCCGTGTTGGGGCCCCTGATGACTGAGTGGTTCAGATCGGGCTGCCCAGCAGGGTGGGGACTCCCCTGGTGCCTGCTGCCTGGCTTCCTCCTCCTGCCGCCGCTGGGAGCCTCTGCGCCAGGCCCGGGTGGAGCCTCGGGGGCCAGCGTCCATGCAGAGGCCGTGGCCTGGGACCTCGTGGGTGTGTGATGGTGCGGATGAGGCCACGGGATGGCTGTTAGCTGTCTGCGTCCCACTGACACGCCAGGCCCTGGCTCGCACACGTCCGAGCAGCCAGGCATGGCGTTCCCATGTTACAGAGAAGCGGGTGCAGGAGGGGAGCTGGCTCCCCGGGGTCCTACAGCTCGGCCCTGTCGGGAGCTGAATGGTGTCCCCCAAAAGGCAGGTCAGGTCCGAACCCCAGGACCTGTGCAGGGCCCTTATCTGGGAACAGGGTCTTTGCAGATGAAACGAAGGGCCAGGAATGAGGGCTCGTGGGTTTTGGCTGGCGGAGCTGGGATGGCGAGTGTCCTCAGAAGAGGGGGTGCCGGCACCCAGGGAGGGTCTGCACGGAGATGGGCAGAGGCTGAGGATGCCGGAGGGGGGCCTTGTTCTGCAGAAGGAGCCGGCCCTGCCTGCCTGCCCCTGGCCTGGCCTGGCCTCTGCACCCGGAGACCCTAAATCCCGGTGGCTTTCAGAGGCCTTGTGGAGCGGGGTTACGGGCGGCCCCAGGACCACGTGCACGCCCGCAGGGCTGGGCCCCTAGAGCCTGGTTTGGCCTCACGGGCCCAGCACGAGGCCTGAGGTCCCATCTGCTGCGCTGGGGGGGGAGCCCCCGAGCCCGAGGGCCGTGCTGGGTCCCAAACTCACCTGGGTGTGTGTTGCCCAGAGCCGGACAGCCCCTCCCGAGGGGCTGAGCGATCTCGCTGTGGTGCCAGCCAAGCTGACGTGACTCGGAAGTAGAAATGGAGGCCGTGGCCGCCCTTGGGGTCGGGTGTTAGCACAGCTGTGACAGCTGGAGGCGGAGGGCCCGGGGGCTGCCGGTGAGTGCCGAGGCGGGGCGGGAGGGATGGGGAGGGGTCACAGGCTGAGCTGGGGGTCAGCGAGGGTCTTGTCAGCACCGAAGAACCGAGGCAGGTGGGCCATGGAGAGCTCTGAGCGGCTCTGGGAGAGCAGACCGTGGGGGCGGCCTGGGTCAGGGCAGCGGCAGGGACGGGAGGCCGGGGCCGAGCCCCAGGGTCTGCCGAGGTGCAGGGCTCAGAGGATGAGGAGCTGGTGCCTTGCCCCGGTGTGCAGGGGGTGGGAGCTGTCGGAGGCATGTGCCGCCCAGCCGGTGGGGGCCGTGGGGGCCAGGACAGAGCGGCCCTGCTCCGTGGCCGGGCAGAGGCCCCCCTCTGCTGCTCGCTGGGGCCGCCTTCCTGGCAGTCGGGGGTGAAGGGAGGGGATGTTACTCGGCCACGGGAAGACACGAAGCACGGAGGGGTATGCGCCACCGTGAGGGTGAACCTCAGACACTGGTCTGTGCACAAAGCCCGTCGCAGAAGGCCACACGCGCTGCCCGATGCCGCGTGGGCACAGGTCAGTCCACACAGCAGTGGACTGTGGTTGGGGCCGGGTCAAGGGTGTCCTCTCTGGGGTGATGGCGGTACAGCCTTGAGAGGGACTGTGAACCTGTGTATTTGACGCTTTCAGTAGCCGCATTTGATGGTACATGAATTAGAGCTAATTTTTTTTAAGTTTATTTTTTTGAGTAAACTCTACACCCAACGGGGGGCTCAAACTCACAACCCCAAGATCAAGAGTCGCTCGCTCCAGCGACTCAGCCAGCCAAGCGCCCCTAGAGCTAATTTTTTTTTTCAAAGATTTATCTATTTATTTTAGAGCACGAGCAGGGGGAAGGGCGGAGGAAGAGAATCTCCGCTGAGCGCAGAGCCTGATGTCAGGACTCGATCCCATGACCCTGAGACCAAGACCTGAGCTGAAATCAAGAGTCGGACGCCCAACCGACTGAGCCACCCAGGCGCCCCAGAGCTAATTTTTTTTTTAAGGGGAAGTATTAGTGGTAAAACTATCTGATTAGCAAACAGTTTTAAAAAATCAAAGCTGGTGGCCCTTCAGCCCTGCCTTCCGGAGGTGGACACGCGTTCTTTCAGGGGCCTTGTGCCCCCGGGCGCCAGGAGCCTCTGTGAGCCCTGTGGTGCAGCCCAGCACGACGCGCTCTCTCCTCCCAGACTCCTGCGTGAGCAGTGGATCCGGGCCAAGTACGAGCGGCAGGAGTTCACCCACCCTGACAAGCAGGAGCCCTACTCCGCAGGTAAGGCCCTGTGCTCTGTGCCCCTTGTCTCTGTGCCTCTCCCTCTGTCCCCCTCTCTCTCTGTCCCTTGTCTCTCTGTGTCTCTGTCTCTCTATCCTGGTTTCTGTACCCCTCCTCCCCGCTCCTGGCACTGCCAAACTCCTTTCGAATCTGGAGGACCAGCTAATTGGTCTGGGCCCGAGTCCGGTCCTCCTGACACCGAGCTGGGTGGCCTGGCGCTCAGGTCCCGTGGCCATCAGCAGCCCAGCTCAGACGGGGTGGGTGCCATGGGGATGGCAGGGCCGCGCTGGGCGCCCTGGCTGGTCGGGGAGGTGGGCCCGTGCTGGGCTGTCTGCAGGGTGAGCAGGTGCTGGTGGGAGGGGCGGGGCGGGCGCGCGGTGGGGCCCAGTCTCGGAGGACGGGAGGTGTGATGTGGGCCTGCCTCTGTGTCCCGGAGCTGCCCTCTCGGGAAAAAGTGGGCTCTGGGTTCCAGACGTGGGGGCTGCGCACAGGGCAGCAAAACCCCGACAGACCTCTCCCCTGCATGTTTGGGTCCGTTCCAGGCGCTCAGGTCTGCGAGGGCCCGGTCTCTGCCTCCTGCCTCGCGGAGCTCAGGAGGTGGTAATGACCGTGTGACAAGCTGGGGGCCTTCCTGCCTACAGGTGTGTCCCCGCCCCAGGCCCGAGGTCCCCCATTAGAGCGCATTCCTCCAAGCTCCTGGTGCCGCCAAGCCCTGTCCCTCTTGGACAGGGGTGAGACAGTGGGCCAGGGACACACGGGACTGCGGGAGGGGCGCGGTAGCAGGCCCTGAGCCGGTGGCCTTGGAGCCGGTGGCTTCTCCGTCAGCCCCTCCGGGGCCAGCAGAAGGGGCGGAGGCCCCACCCGCCTGCCGCCACCGAGGCCCTCACCAAGCCGCCGTCCCGTGGGGAGGTGGCCAGTGTGCTGGCCGCCTGCACAGCTGCTAAATCTCGCCTGCTCACAGCAGGGGCCTCCCCAGGGCCCCCCACATGCCCTCCTGAGGCTCCCAGGAGGAAGGGCAGCATTCGGGGGCACCCGGGGCCCCACGCCCCACGGCCTCTGAGGCCGGGCCAGCCAGGTGCCCCCAGACCCAAAGCCTGCACAGGCCCCGGCCCCTCCGAGCCCCCTGCTGCCAGCCCCAGTGTCGGAGTGGGTGCACCTGGGCACCCCAAGGTGTCCTGGCCCTGTGGTTCCCCTTTGTGGGCTCCTCCCCCAGCCCTGCGAGGAGCACCAGGGGATTCCCGCGGGCACTTCCTGCCACGAGAGCACTTTCTCAGGCCCAGGGGAGGACATGCCCACCCGGCCCCACGGAGGCAGAAGGGGCCCAGCCCCTCCCACGAGGAGGACGGGAGCTGAAGGCCCCAGGAAAGGCCCCGGCCCTGGGAGCCATGCGAGGCCCAGGCCAGAGGCCGCGAGCTGCCCCCCAGCTCGGAGGGGCCACGGGGACCGGCAGGTGGCGGGAGCCTGGGCCCCCAGCGGCGCATGGTGGGCGCGGGGTGCGTCGCCCACAGCTTGTCCCACTGCGTGTGGTGCCTCAGACCGCCCGGGAGGAAGGGCTCCAGCGCAATTGTCTGCGGGGTGCCAGGCCCCGAAGCCAGACGTGAGGGCGACAAGACGGGCCACGGGGGAGAGGACACGAGCCCTGCCCACGGAGGGCGTGGACCGGGGAGGGAGGAGGGCTCGGCCCTTCTGACAGAAGAGGTCCACTGTCACCGAGGAAGAAACGGGGGAACGGGACGGCCAGCAGCGAGGGCCCCAGCGGAGCGGGTGTGGGCCGGACCCCGCCAGGCGCCGAGATCCGAGGAAGCTGGGGGGAGCCGGGATTTGCGTGTCTCGAAGCGTCTTCCCCTGGATGTGGATGGGAATGGAGGAAGAGGGCCCGGCCGGCCGAGAAGCTGCTGGGGACGGGGCACCAGTGTCCGGACGGCGTGGCTGCCGTGACGTTCTTGCCGAAAATGCAAAGCCTCGCCTCGGCCGCGAGGAGACGCCAGACGGGCCCCGCGGAGGGACCCTGACCGGACTCGCTGACCAGCACTCCTCGGGGCGTCAAGGCCGAGAAGCAGCTGCACGTGTGTGCCCGGGTGGCATCGCGGGGCTGGGGCGGCAGTGGGGCTGCCATGAAGGGGGTTAGTCGTGCCGTCCGAGGTGGCTGCCCGGCTCTGAGGCCCCTACCGCGGCCACCGGGGCTCCCCTCAGGTCACCGCACGCACTGACGCCAGGCACCACTTGGTGCTGGGGAACGAGGGGTGTGGGGAGGCCGCGGGCCCAGGGCTCCGGGTGGCTCCAACCTGGCACCCCCCGCCCTCGGTCAAGGTCACGGGCGTGTGGAGATAAGGGGCCTCACCTGCCCCACCCCGGCTCACAGGGGCGACCCTGGTGACCCTCCTGGCTCGCTCCCCACGCTGTGCCCCGCCTCGAGCCACAGCCTCAATGGCTGCCTTTCACGGGCCGGACAATGCCCCCCGTTGTCCCGAGGGCCAGGCCACCCGGGCCGCCCCCAGTCACCGACAGACACAGCACTTCCTGCTGAGGCTTCGGACCCCATCCCCCTGCCTCCTCTCTGTGCAAAGCAGGGCCGGTCCCAGAGCTGCCACCCTGCCCCGCCTTTGTCCTAAGTGCCACAGGGTGAGCAGAGAGCTCCCTGCGTGACAGAGCCCATCCCCCCCGGGCCTCAGTTTCCTCCTCTGTGTAGTGGGGAGGACACGGTACTCAGCATGGGGTCGTCATTGGAAGCATTGACTGATGTTAGGTGTAGCGCGCCCAGTGGGCCTGAGGCATCCCTGGGGTGGCAGGTGCAGGTCCAGTCAAGGGAAGGTGTTTGTGGGGTTTGGCCAGATGTGCCTCCCCCCACCCACCCCCCACTGGATTCAGGACTGTTGGCCGCTTCCTGGCAGCATCTGTGTGGGAACCAGGTTTGGGGCACAGACTTGGCCATGCGGGAGGTTGTGCTGGTCCCCCAGTGAGGTGGCCAGGGTAGCAGGGAGCGAGGGACAAAGGAGGCCAGGCCTGGGCCCCCGTGTCAACCTCGTGGGGACTAGAACCTGTAGGCCTGGAACCAGGTCCCGGCCCTTCTGCGGAGGTGCCCAAGGTGGGCCTCAGTTTCCCTGGTGTCTTCTCAGGTCCTGGCTCTATGCCCAGAGCACACCTTTCCACTGGGCGTCCCCTGGCAGAAGCCACACAGTGTGGGGCCCGTCTCCTGCCCTGGGAGGGCCACCCGGGGTCTGGGCACGGAACACCCAGCCTGGGCCCCCCGGTAAGCTCTCCTGCCCCTCAGAGCAAGGCCGCGTGTCCCTGCTGCAATGAAGAAGTCAACGTGTTACTTGTTCACGTAAGGTGCAGTCCACATGTGAGCCCCGTGCGGGGGATGGTCCTGTGACCAAGGCAGACACAGGACAGCCCCACTCTGCAGGCTGTCGGCCAGCCCCAGCCCCTGCCCGGCTCCGTGCCCCAGAGTCCTGCCTTTTCTGGGGTCATTCCACGGGGCCAGCCGCACTGGAAGTTGGCCCTGCCACGCCATCCCCGTGGCTCCGTCCTGAGTGTGGAGAGGTGTTGGTGTGCGGATGAGGTCCCCAGCTGGGGACCTCGGGTTGTGTTCAGTTCGAGGCTTTCATGTGGACGTGGTCTTCTGGGTCGTGTGAGAAGTGTGTGGCGGTCCTCATTAATTTAAGCAGTTGTGCAGAGTGGCCCCGCTGCGCTGCAGTCCCTCCGGCAGAGGGGGCACCGACGTGTGTGTTTGCCCGCACCTGGGACGCCGTTCTTGTGGCTGGCGGTGGCCGCCCATCACCACTGACGGTGCTGAGGATCCTCGCGCTTCCTCTCGGCGCTCCGCAGAGGGGCTTCGGGAGGAGGCAGCCGGGGGGGCCGCGGACGGGTGGGCCCCGCACACGGCAGGGGTGGCCCACACCGTAGGCGCCCAGTAGATGCTGAGTGAAGCATCTGGCCTGTGCCCCAGGACTGGCTGGTCCTTTGGGAGGAGGCGGTCTCCCCGGCACAGCCAAGCTCCAGGTATGCGTGTCGGGGGGCACCGCTGGGTCCCGTCCCGCTGCGTGCGCCGGGGAGACCCCTCTGGCAGGGGTGCGGTCGGCAGGGGCGTGGGGGAGGCTGGTGCAGCAGACTCCCCGAGCCCGGGTAGACGTCGGGACAGCACGGCGCCCTGGAGTCTGCAGGGCTCAGGGAACCCGGCTCGGAGGCCCCAGTGTGGTGGGCGGGAGTCGTCCTGCTCAGGCCCACCTCCCCGGGGAGGCCAGGCCATGACGGGACGGGCAGGCCGCCGGCTTCACGGAGCGCCAAACAGCCGTCCTTGGGCGGGGCCGAGTCCGGGACCCTGGCCAGCGCCCGTCTGAAATTGCCGCTGCCGCCGTCCGGGGCCTGGAATTAGGCACCCTGGCCGCTGGCCGCTGGCCGTCGCGGGCACGCGGCCCAGGAGCCAGGCCGACTCGGGCCAGCGCCCCCTCCATCCCACGGCTTCCAGCCGGGCCTGGGCCAGGGGGAGTGTGGGGTGGACGGTGGGGCTGGGTGGCCACCCCACTCAGCCAGCCGCCGGCCGCGTCCTGAGCCGCTGCTGCCGCCTGCTGGGCCCAGCAGGCAAGGCGGGCGGGCGCGGGGCAGCTGGGCACGGGGTCCTGCAGGGCCCAAGGCCGGCGCTGGCTGGCAAGGCGACCTTGGACCAGGACCTCGCGTCTCTGTGCCTCAGTTTCCCCTTCTGTACAAGGAGGATGACAGCTGGGAAGTCCTTCTGGGGCCGGCACAGGATCACGTGGGTGACGTGCTCAGCCAGGGCCTCGTCGTGGGCAACGTTCACGGGTGCGGGTGGCCACCTGCCCTGCAGATGGCACGACTCCAGCTGCTGAGCAGACACCACCCTCGGGCGCGTCCCTGCGTCCACGGCGTGGCTGCCCTGCGGGCCGGTGGACTTGCAGCTTTGCCCTGGGTGGAGTGCTCACGTGGTCGCTCTGCGTAGGGCCCCGTGTGGGCCCGGGGACTCGGTTCCTGCACACACAGTGGGCACAGGCCTGCTGGCGCTATGCGCAGGGGCCCGGGGGGGAGGGGAGAGGCCCCATCTGGCGCTGTCCCGCCACAGACTGAGAGGCACCAGCCGCCCCCTCCCCGACGCCAGGCTGCGCCTCTTTAGGGTCGCGTGTCGCAAGCACAGAGAAAATAGCTCCTTGTCCCTGTGGTGCCAGGGCGGGGCCGCTAGGGCTGCAGCGTGAGCGCGGGTCAGGGCCTAGAGGTGGCGTCCGGAATGCGAGCCGGCCCCGGCTCCGCGGTGGGTCGCACCGTCCGCGCGGGCACCGAGGGCTCGCCGGTCCAGCCTTCTCCTCCCATCCCGGGCCGGCCTCAGGCGCGGCAGCAGGACGGGTTCCCCGGGGAGAGCGCCCCGAAAGCCGGGGCGGAACTGCTGGGCGGTTTGTACGGGAAGCCACAGACCCTGACTGTGACGGGCGAACCCCGAGGAACGCGCCCACGGCACGCGGGTGTCCCTGGAGACTCAGTCCCGCGGGGCCGGCAGAGCTGGGAATGCGCTGCGGGCACAGCGGCAGCAGGCTCCCCTGCCCCTGCCCTGTGGAGGGACAGCACAGCCAGGCAGGGGACACACGGGGCACGGCTCCTCTTGGGCACAAGGTCCTGGAACCGGCCTCGCTGACGGGAACGTGACAGGACCGAACATGAAGGGAGGACAGTACTCCCTTCCTAGGGCCGCTGGAGCAACGGGCCACAGAATTTGTGCCCGACGGCCTGGGGCATCCGGGGCTCCGAGCTCCGCAGAGTCGGGGGGCTGGAGTGGAGGGGTGGGCAGGGCCGGCTCCTCCCTGCGTCTCCTGTTTCCACAGTCACTTCTCCCTCCGCCTCCCGCGTGCGAGGACCCTTGTGATGACCTGGGGCTCACCTGGACAGTGCAGGATGCTCGCCCGTCCCCAGACCCTCCAGACACGTGCGAGTCCTGTCCCGCTGTCCTGAGGACTCAGCAGTGGGCACCTTGCTCTGCTCTGCCGCCCCCCCACCCCCCGGTGGCCACACAGGCGTCTCCGCACACACTCGCCCGTGGGCCTGGACACAGGGGAGCACACTGCACCCCTGTCCCTGTTTCTCACGCTTCCGGAAGGAAATGGGAAAACACGCCAAGCAGTAGGCAGCGGCGGGCAGCCTTTGGGGAGGGGGTGGCCTCGGGTCCCAGCGCCGTGGGCGAGTCCGGCCTGCGTCCACCAAGCTCCGCAGCCCTGAGGCCAACAGGTCTCCTGGCGAGAGGCCAGACGTCAGGCTGGAGTCCTCTCGCCCACACCCTCCGTGTGGGTCAGGCTGATGGCCTCCGCTCTGGTCCACTGTGACCCTCTGACCCACATCCCCCCTCTCCCCAGGATACCGAGAAGGCTTTCTCTGGAAGCGCGGCCGGGACAACGGGCAGTTTTTAAGCCGGAAGTTCGTGCTGACGGAGCGGGAAGGGTCCCTGAAGTATTTCAACAGAAACGATGTGAGCCCGGCAGGGGGCCCGTACTGGCCGTTGTCCCCAGCCGCCCTCAAGCAATTCCTGGCCTGGAGTGGCTGCCCCCTCCCGTGGGGACCCCTGCCCACCCCTTGGTCACAGTCGCTCCCTGGGGCCGGGCCTGGTTGGTAATGCTGGGCACTCCCAAGCCCAACAGGGTCATCCAGGTGGCGGGCGGGGAGGGCTGGCCGGGCCCTGTGCCCACCCAGACCAGCTCCAAGTCAGGACAGCCCCGGTGACACACAGAGACAGAGGGCACCACAGGGCAGTTTGCCAGCTCCCGGGCAAAGAGGAAAGCCAGGCTGGCAGGACGGGAGCAGGGGTGGGGGCACGGCAGACAGGAGGAGCTGCAGGGGGGAGGGGGGCCTGCCCGGGTGTCAGACAGCCCCCTTCCTCATCCCCGGGGAGGGCAGCGCTGTTACCTCAGACTTACAGGTCAGGAAGCCCAGGACCAGAGCGCGTAAGTAACCTACCCAAAGCCACACAGCGCAGCTGGCACCCACAGGCCCGCCTGGAGCTAATGGCCTTGCTTCCAGGCCAAGGAGCCCAAGGCTGTCATGAAGATCGAGCATCTGAACGCCACCTTCCAGCCAGCCAAGATAGGCCACCCGCATGGCCTGCAGGTCACCTACCTGAAGGACAATAGTACCCGCAACATCTTTGTCTACCACGAGGATGGGAAGGTGGGTGCCGGGCTGCTTGGTGGGGGCAGGGAGCTGGGGTGCTCCACCCTGCATGGCCACGTGGAGCCAGCGGGGCCCTGGCCAGGGAGCGGACCTAGAATCCCTAAAGCCATCAGGGCCAGGGCTGTTCTTTGTTGGGAATTTTTGATGATGGATTCGGTCTCCTTACTCGTTTATAGGACCATTCAGCTGGTCCACGTCTTCCTGACTTAGAATTGGTGGGTTTTCTGTTTCCAGGAATTTGTCCACCTCATCGAGGTGACCCTGTTGTTGGTGTACGGTTGTTCACAGCACGCTCTCATAGACCTTTTTATTTCTGGGAGCAGCGTCCCCAACTTTGTGTCTGATTTGAGTGACTTGAGTCAGTTTCTTAGGCCATCCAGTTCAAGGCATGCCGATGCATTGATCTTCTCAAAGAAGCAACTTTTGCTTTCATTTAGCACTGGTCTATCACCCAGCCATCCCCTCCCACCCTCGCACCAGAGCCTCTGCGGGGTGAGGGTGCCGGGAGCCCCCAGCCAACCCCTCGGGGTCTGTCCTTTCGTCACGGGTGGCCCCTCCTCCTTGTGACCTTGGTTTTCCATTTTTACCTCCGGAACACGGGCATGTGGATTAAAGGGCAAAATGTGTCTGCGACGCTTCAGCCACACAAGGGTCTGGCAACCACCTCTCTTCTCCCTTTTTTCTTGAGTAAAAATACACCAAAATTCACCATTTTCATGATGTGTAAGCATACGGTTCTGGGTTCATTGTGCAGCCATCCCCACCACCCCTTCCAGAATGTTCCATCCCGCACACAGAGACCCTGTCCCTGTGACGCACAGACCCCCACCCGCTCCCCCAGCCCCGGCCCCGCCATCTACCCTCTGTGAGTCTGACGACATGCGTGTCCTTCTGGGCCTGGCTCGTGTCCTCGGGCCTCGTCCCCATGGGGGCAGGGGTCCGGTTGCTTCCTAAGGCTGAGCGATCTGTCGTGTGGACGGACCACACTGTGTTTATCAGCCCCTACCCTGACGGACAGCTGGTGGTTTCATGAAGGATGCTGCTGTGAACTTGGGGGTACAAATACCTGAGACCCTACATTCAATTCTTGTGATTATATAGCCAGAAGTGAAATTGTGGGATCGGGTGGTAACTGTTTTGAGGACCCTCCCCACTCTTGTCCACAGCAGCTGCACGGTTTGCGTTACCCCCGACAGGGCACGAGGGTTCTCCTCTCTCCCCGTCCTCGCCAGTAGCTGTTTCTGGGTTCTGACGGGCACTGTGAGGTGTGCGAGGTGCTCGCATGTTGATTTTCATCTGCATCTCCCTGATGATGACTGAGGTTGAGCATCTTTTCATGTCCTGGTTGGCCATTTGTGTGTCTTCAGAGAAAGGTCTGTTCAGGTCCCATTTTGCCCATTTTGGATTTTGGTGGTTTTTTCAGGTGTTGAGTTTTAGGGCTTCTCTATATATTCTGGATATTGATCTCTTAGCAGACACACGACTTGAAAACGTTGTCTCCCAGTCTGTGGGTTGCCTTTCACTCTGTGGATAGTGTCCCCTGGAGCACAAAGTTTTTAAATTTTCATAAACTCCAGTTTGTCTTTTTTTGCCGATGCCTGTGGTCATATCCAGCGTCATGAAGCTTTTGCCTTGTGTTTTCTTCAAAGATTTGTACGGTTCAGGTTTATGTTTAGGTCTTTGATCCACTGAGTTAATTTTTTTTAAAGATTTTATTTATTTATTAGAGCAGGAGGGCAGGGAGGGGGTTGGGGGAGGGGCAGAGGGAGAAGCAGGCTCCCCACTGAGCAGGGAGCCCGACACGGGGCTTGATCCCAGGACCTGAGATCATGACCTGAGCCACCCACGTGCCCGCCCCCCCCACTGAGTTAATTTTTATATAAGAGTCCAACTTCATTTTTTTTTATTATGTTACGTTAATCACCATACATTACATCATTAGTTTTAGATGTAGTGTTTCATGATTCATTGTTTGTGCATAACACCCAGTGCTCCATGCAGAACGTGCCCTCTTTAATACCCATCACCAGGTTAACCCATCCCCCCACCCCCCTC